TTATTTAATAGCATCATTTTCGTTGTGTTAGAATATTGCCAGTTCACCCTGCTTGTTTAATGTCTGAAATTCCTCTGCTCCTCTCCTGTCCTGACTAACAGAAATAACATTGTGCCATTATAATGCATCAGCTTTTCCCTTACCCTGTTGGAGGCATTAAGGAATATATTAGCCAGAGTTGGATGTTCAGTGGAACCTTGACACCCTGGTCTTCTTTTGCTGTGATTTTCTGATGAAAATCAATCCCTTTCCCTCTCTGTGGGGTTTTGTTTCTATTCTTCTGTTTCACATATATGCAGGTTCTTATCCCCTGAGTGCTTATCATCCCTTGTGCCCAGGATTTTGTCAAAGGGCTTTTGAAACTTCATGTATGTTAATCAATCAGTTAATCTACTTACAGACATTTTCCAATAAATCCAGGAATTACGTAAGAACTGATTTCCACTGCTGAAATAATGCTGGTTACATCTAGAATTTCCATATGACTTGTTCTTCTTTCAGCCAAGTCAAGTTGCCATGTACAGTTTGAAACCTGTTAATACCCCTGCTCAATTCTAAATATATGTAGTAGTTTTAAGTATTTTATGATAGAAGTTTTTAACAAAAGCTTGTGTATTTTTGTTAGTAACTCACCTGCTTCATATTTATGTCTCTGTGCAAGTTTTGTGGATAAACATATGTTAGGACATTTTAAAAAATTATTTTTATTTTTGTAATTGCTTTTTTTCTGCATACCTTCTAACTCTTTGGCCTCTGAGTCTTGACTGAACTTCACAGGGGATGCTCAGAAACTACCTGATATGGAGAAGGTGTATGAGGGAAGGGGAATGCAAACCAGACCAAACTATTCATGCTTCAGGCTTTTCAGACCAGATAGATCCTGAAAGTGTGACATACTCTGAATACTTAGATGCACAAATACAACAGTTGCTGCAGAGATGGTTGATTAAAAAAAAAAAAAAAAAGAACAACTCAGAAGGAAGAACAATCAGCACACTATGCTTCTTGCATAATAGCTGTGTGGTTTGAGCATTTTGTGGAAGAGGGGAAGTTGTCTCTATTCCAAGACTCCACTGCACTTATTAGTCCATATTTCATCTGTTCTTCTCTAGTCTAAAAAGCCTAGATTCTTTAGGGAATGTGGATTTGAACACTGTTGGCTCATTCCCATGAATTTGAATGCTAGGCTAAGAAACCTTCAGATTTCTTTTTTTTTAACTGCATACCTGGGTGTCCTTATAGACACAGTGGCAAAGGTAATTTTTTTTTTCCCCATGAAACCATTTTCTTGAAAAGTGAAATATCTGAAAAAGGCTGAGAGGGACCAAAAGCCATTCCCCCTTCATGGGAAAATACTGTAGCATTCTGTTACACAGAAGGTCGATCTTAGAACAATCTACTGTCTATCTTCCCCAGTGTTACTGAAGAACAGTATGATTGCCCACAGCAGAGCCTGCTCTCAGTCCCCAGGACTTTTACTGTGTAGCTTGCAGACACCTCTCCCTCTGGCAAAGTTTCTAAGTAACTGACTCTCCCCAAGCTACTATGAAGGCTGCCTAAGAGCTTACTGCTCCATACAGATCTGCTGTGCTCAAGTGCCCAATATTATGCAAGATGATGTCTAGTTTTAGGGTACCTAAAATTACTCTTCTTGCATAGAGGAAGGAAAAAAAAGGCATATGTCAAAAAAAAAAAAAAAAAAATTGTCTGCAGGTGCAAAAACCCCTACCATGAATTCCAGATGCAATCCCAACTGACTGTTTTCCAGCACTGCCTATTACTGTGAGCAACTCCCTACTGAACCTGAAAGCTCCTCAGGCATTTGACTATATTCACCCACACATGTTAAGGAGGTCCTGTTCTGGGAAGATAGGCACTTATCTCTTGCCTCAAGTCCCAGTACAATCCAGCTTAGGAAGACAGGCATTTAAATCCCTTTTAGAAGCCTGAAAAATTAGCAGCAGTCAGAATTATGTCTGGCTTTTTCTGACATGGGCCATCAGCTTCCACACAGGTGCATAAGACTGAGAGCACGATTTGAGCTAAGCACAGGTGTGCAAGTGTACATTTTACATTAGAGAGGGACTGTTGTGTCACTGACGTTTTACAAGACTACCCCAACTATTACACCATGCTTGGGCAGAAAGCATCAGCTTTTCCTACTGCGTGTGGATACAAGGAGTTGTTTGCTCCAGTTCTCATCTCAAGAGAAAAAAAAAAAACAAGAGGAAAAAACTCTCATGTGGAAAAGATGTGTCATACAGGAGACAAGAAAAACAAAGCATAACCTTTTAACTCTCCACCTTGTGCCAGAGAGCATCTGGACTGCTAGGCCAACCTTGGGTTTGCTTTTGTCTTCTCTGATGTGGCCCTGTGCCTCATGTGTTCCAGGTTGCACAGGCGCTCAGTTGCAACACCATCCACACTACCCCGATGGATGGTTGCTGATTATGCCATTCTGCTGAGAAGTTGGAGCTCAGGGCTTAATTAGAGTCTAAAAACATCACCCACTTCCTTTCTTACAAGTTTTTGCATCTTTATGCAAAATGTGGGTGGAAGCACTGTGATCTCATTAACGTCAGTCCTGCAGTAGGGATAGAGAGGCTGGATCCTGTGTTGATGAAGTGTTAGGAGTGTTTCAGATGAGTTTCCAAGAGGATATCAGTGCTCTAGCTGCAGGCTGGCTTTGCCCACTGGCACTGTGAGTTCAGCTGCAGTCAGTGGAAAGAAAGAGGCACTCTTAAGTGCCTCAAAGAAAGCCATCATTTTCTGCAGGTCTTCAGAAGTGCCTCTCTCTGTGTCCTCTACCCACACAGCAAAGCTGAGGAATTAGATTGCTCCTTTTGTCCCTTCCAGGGCTAAGACACCTAAAATTTCATTGAGGTAATAATATCTCACTGACGTCTCTAAAGTAGATGGATGAGATTCCAGACTGAATACTTGGGGCTTTGGAGTAAATGATTGCAAGAAAAACCAAAGTGTCAATAATAAGATGCAAGCTGTTGAAAACCAAAGAAAATAAAGCATTGATTAAAATAAGCATGTATTAGAAGACTATTTGAAAAGAATCAAAGACTGCAGCCTTTCGTAATTATTTTCATTCCTCCTCCATGCCCCATTAGCCTTTAGCAAAAAATAATTTAAGATATGGTTGGAAAAGTTTTTTTCTCATCTTTTCTGTGACACTGTACTCATGAACCATGGAGGGCTGAAAATCATTGCAACACACTGAGAAAAAGTAGTGGGTGCACTAAGACTGTAATGTTAACCCATCGATTTTCCCTCACTTAAGTCACATTCCTTGGATAGCATTTTCTGAAAAAGACAGAGGAGTATTTATCGCAGTAGCTTGAATATGCATCAATTGATTTTATTATACTAGAAAACCTGAGAAAGTATGGTTTATTTATATACAGATTGTGTAAATACACTGTAGGCAAGTTTCACAGTTTAATGTTGAAAGGGCTTTCATTAATGGTGTAGCTGTGAGAAAAGGAGGCAAAGCAACATAAAAGAGTCAGGATTTGATTTTTACTGAGATAAGTTGAAAGAATAATTCACCTTTAGCAAATGTGTTTCTTCTTTCATGTTGTGTTATGTGTTGCTCTTTCTACTACTCCATGCATGGTTGCAAAAATATACATTAAGAATGAATCCCTCATTGATGTGACTTAATGATGTCTATCATTTATGTTTGCCTAATTCTCTGTGTTAATAAAAAAAAAAAACAAAATCACCAGAGATCCATAAAATTAAATGGTTGGTTTTGTCCTGGAGTAACTACACACTATACTTCTACTTTACGTGTATTTCTAACAGAAGACATGAAGTCAGTTCTGCTGAGCAATGTAACCAGATACTGAAAAAGTATGTTGTTAATTGCATTATTTTTTTAGAAAGTATGGAGTGGGGTTTTTTTAAAGGCTAGGAGATTGCATTTCAAATGCACTTCCAGAACTTTGTATGGCTTTCCATCTTTCTCAGACACAAAAAGTTACCTAAAGATTTGAAACTGAACATATGGGCCAACGTCTCCTATTGTGCAATGACTGATTTTAGTTTGTATCGATACTGAGGCTCATCTGCATTTTTGAAAACGCACCGGTTCTGTGAATGAAAACCACGGCATTAGGACTAGACGCTCTATTTCCTGTCGCCGAAACCAGACATCTCTAGAAGAACTGGTAGGCAGGACACGCTTTTCTATCCCGAGTACTCACACTACGGCTGAGCATTAAAAATTGACAACACGATATAGCATGCGATATACCAGCTATCATTGTAAAGAAGGCAATCGTCAGACAGATGTGAAGTTCCGGCCCCTGAGGTAGGAAAGCTCTGAGCTACATTTGGAGAAATCGGTACCTGCAACTGAGACCTCAAGAGGAGTGAGCCTGAGGGATGCCCGAGGTGAGAGGGGTCCTGCCCAGACCCAGCGACGCTGTGGGGATCCGCACCAGCCCCTCATTTATGCCAGAGTGAAGGGAAATGGTGAGACAACCCGATGAGCGCCTTCAGCCACGGGATCCTGAAGCAACGCCGTGTGCCTCACTCCGCCTGGGCACTGACGGGCTTGTAGCTGTCACAGATGTGGCAGCAAGAGTCTGCGCCACAACCCCGGCGGCCTCACCGGGCGGGCTGTCACGCCGCTGCCGCCTCCCGCCCCGCTGCTGGGTCGCGCCCGCCGCCCCTCTCCGTGTCCCCCTGCCGAGCTGCTCGGGCGGCCCGGCGGGGCTGAGCCGCCGCGCTGCCGCCGCCGCCGCCGCGGCCGGTCCGCCCGCCGCCGCCCCTTCTCTTCCCTTCCCCCGCCACCGCACATGCCCAGAAGGGCGGGAGCCGCGGCGAGCCCGAGCGCTGGTGTGACAGCGGCGGCGCTTTCCCTTCCGTGGGTGGGTGGGGGCCGCGCCGCGCTCCCCGGCCCGGCCCGGCCCGGCGGAAACGCTGCGCCGGCCGCCTGTCAGCCCAGCGTCGTGCCCGCCGCGCCCCGAGCCCGCTGCCGCCGTGGGGCGGGAGGCGGCCATGTCGCTATTGTCTGCGCTGGTGCCCTTGCTCCGGGTGTACTGCATCGGCCTTCGCGTCATCCTGCACCAGCTGCGCCGCCGCTTCCAGCCGCGGTGCGCCCCGGCCTCAGGTGAGCACCGCAGCCAGCGCCGCGGGGCGGGGCGGCTCCGGGCCGGGAGGCGGCGGCCCCTGCCGCGGAGAGGGGAAAGTTTGCCGCGCGCCTCCCCCACCCACCGCGGGCAGGCGGCAGCTCGGGGCCCCGGGGCCGAGACCGCGCGGCCCAGCCGGCAGCGGCTGACAGGGAAGGGAAGGAGGGAACAGGGCAGGGCAGCCGCGACCTTGGCTATAGCGTGGGGCGCCGGGGCCGTGCCGCATCCCCCGAAGCAGGGCAGGGGCTGAGGCACCGCGGCGGCCCCAGCACGGGCGCCGCCGCCCGACTCCGCCCCTGCTCCCCTTCGGCGGCCGAGCAGGACCCGCCGAGCTGCCCGAGGGAAGGGCCCCGGGGGGCTGCGGCTGGCGGGGCGCCCTCCCGCCCCCGCCGCACGCCGCCCTCGCTGCCAGCCAGGCCCTGGCCCCACCGCCCCGGCCGGCCCCCGGGCCGCGGCCGCCCTGGACGCGGGGCGGGGCGGGGGGCCGGGCCCGGGCCGGGCGCCGGGCTGCACGCCGGCCTGACTTGTGGCCTCGGGAGGCGGTGTGGGGGTTCCGTGGTCCGGGGGTCCCCGCTTCTCTTCTTCCTCTCTTTGGCTCTCTGACAGTGTCTTCTGAGAGCTCAGCTCAGAGCCGCGCGGGCGCTGCCTCCCTCAGCCCAGGTAGGTGCTCGGAAGGCGGGTAGCGGTGGGCAGCTTCCTCCGGCCCGGGCGCTCCTGCCCCCTATGCCCCCACCCCACCGGGGCGGCCGGGACCACCGGGACCGCCGCTTTCGGCTTCCCTGTCTCGGCTGCTCCAGGAGGTGAACGTACCTGTGCTCCAAAAGCTTAGTACTTGATACCGGCTGACACTCGCTGACAGCTTTTAGGCTAACAAGTGAGTGACACTTGTAGTTTTTTTCTAAGGGACTTCAGGTTAGTCGTTGGTTTAAGAAGTTAGGTTTTTGCACTTTTCTGATTTGGATCAACAGTTTGTTAAATTCTAACTTAGGGGAAACTTTGAGTTTATCAGAAAAAAAAACCCCGATTATCTGCTCGCATTACTCTTGAAGACTAAAATGCTTCTGAGTTTATAAACTTAGAGCAAACTAAGAGTTCGGGCAGATGTGTAGGTTATCATCAGAGCTGACCATACAGCTGCATTGAAGTCAATGCCTTTAACTTTCTGTCCTTATCAGCAAGTGAGCCTTTGTGGCCCTGTTGATAGTTTTAACCAGCGGAACAGTAAAAAACGTAATATTGAGAGGGCCTAGTGTTTCAGTAAGGAATTCAGGCAGATGAGGATATTGGTATAGTCAGTATCTGAAGTACTGGGAAGGAGATGGAACAAGTACACTGCACAATAGGAGCTTATTTCTTCATCTTTTCACACATTGCATCCTTGGGTAGAGTTTGTGTACTTTTTATTCAGTCCTGATTCTTCTGCTGGGATTCCCTTCTTCATTCTCAAAAGGCAGCAATGAAACCCTCAAACAAACGAGAGGACCCTGGTGACAAAAAGGGCAGATGTGCATATGGTTTGAAGTAATCTGAGCATTTTTCTAGCATTAGCGTTTCTTGGCAGGGAAAATTTGGGTATTTTGCCTAGGGTGTGTAACACTTTCCAAATCTTTTTTTGAACCAGAGAAACGGCATGATGAAAATGTGACCCAGTGTTTTGTTGCACTCTGCTCTTTGCTATTGAAAAAAAAGTGTTGAATTTGGAAATGCCAGAGCAAGGCAATGAAGATCCAATCTAGGAAATGTCACTTACCTAAGTGGGACCGAGGCAGATTTGACAGATGTGAAAAGTTTTCTTTGAGCCCTAACTTGTGATGTTTTTTTTTTTCCAAGAATAAATGGTTTCTTCCTCAGTTAGTTGTTTGCACGCAGTTCCCTCTTGGCAGTTACCTGCTGCCTTGCTTTCACTCACTGTGTCCAGCCATTGCTTAAAAAAGTGATTCACCTTAACAACTGGCACCTTTTTACCCAGATGAACCTTGTTTCCATAATAACTTCAAAATAGTGATGTCAGTGTAACAAAAAGCTAAAGTGTTGTTAGAACAAGCTTGGATCAGTTTCTTACAGTTCCTGTAAGAAAACACCGAGTACCTTTTTCAGATGGTAGTCCAGAAAGGCCTGTATGTTTAAAATTTTCTGTATCTTTTCTAAGGGGTGTCCATAACTCCCACAAGTACAGGCATTTTATTGTCAGGATGCCTTCCTTGGGATGGCTTGGAGTGGCAAAGGGGAGCTGGGGAGGAGAGGACCGGGAGGCATTCCTCTGATCCTGTCTTCCTTGGCCCCAGTTTCCATATCAGAGTTCCCACTCTCTGTGCAGCAGTGCTGCCGATCTTGCTTGGAAGATTTAAAAGAGAGGGATGTCTGCTGGCGTGTCCTTCAGCTCTGCGGATGAGTGAAAAGTTCTGGTCTCAGAGCAGCCCTTCTGCCTCTGAATTTTCCAAGAGAAGGTCGCTTTCTTATCCTTGTTGTGAAGAAGGGCTCAGGATTTTAATCCAAATAAACAAAACTAGTTTCACTTTTATTTTTCCTTACCCTAATTTAAGGGTTGTGTGCTCTTGGCACATGTGCTTTTAAAAGCGACCCTTGTGTTCTTTCACATCCCACTGGAGTTCATCCGATTTTTATAGATGGAAATCAAGTCATTTTTTTGCAGAAAGAGTTTGAGCTCTGAAATCTAGATTCAGTGCAAAAACCTGATCATTATTTTGAGTTGAAAACTGAAAAAATATTAACATTCTCTATTCAAGTGAATGCTCCCCACCTCAACACTGAGTAGGGAAGTTGACCTGAAATTCAGATCTTGAAGCTCAGGGAAGGAAAATACAGAGCTGAGACTACAAACAGGGTGTGCAGTCAGTGATTGCTTTGCTAGCTAAAATCAACATAGAGGAAAGTGCCGAAATAAAGGGGAACTTAAGTTAAACTTAAAAATACTTCTCCAAGTATTAATTACATAAACAGTATTATTGCTTAAATGTAGTTTTAGTGTTTAGTGGTTTAAACTATTAATAGTTTTCTTAGAAATTACTGCTTGGACTTCTTTTCAGTGCTTAATCTTAATTAATTGGAGGGAGGAAAAAAGCCCTGCATGACTAAAGTTCTTGATTAAAACAGCTTTTCAAAAACACAGATCTAATCAGTGGATTGATAAAAGAGAAACCAGTATTAATTGTGACACCAGGATATTACCAGTGGAAAGGTGATCGCCAAAAATCATCCTACTGATTAGAAAAATAGTTCATATAATTAAAAATTTCTCAAGGAATTTATTTGGCATCTTTCTCCTGCATTTTTTTCTTCTACTGCACATATTTCATTGAAATTTAGTAGGGGAAACCTAAATCTTGAGTGTTATGTAGTAGTTTTGAAGTCTTTGTAGTTAAATTTGGAACCTGTAATGTGTAGAAAGCTGTATCTGAAGAATGTGGTTATGTGGAATAAATTAAGGAGACCTTAAAGGTTGACTCCTGTTCGTCTTAAAAGTGTTTAAAATTTCATACATTTATTAAGTTTCCTCAGTTTTTCGTTACTCAGTATCTACATTTGTACCAAGTTTCTTTACAGTTGTGAAATATTGATTTAGGATAATACATCTCGTAATTTTGATTCATATTTTGAGGTCTCTTACTTTATATGAGTAAAATGTAGTGGGAGCCTGAGCACTTCCTGCTCAAAGCTGCATGAGCTCCAGATTGTAAATCATCCAGAGGTGGGTAGAGAAATGATCAGGTGGAAAGGATTGATGGCAGGCAAAAATGCAGTTACATCAAGCAGTTAAACCCTCTCCCCACGCATGCCCCTACAAGAGTCATTAAGTTAGTTTCAGAATGAGGAATCACTTGCTTTATAGTTGCCCCTTTAGTGACTGAGGCAAAGGTTGTGGGACAAGGATACCCACAGGGTGCCATTGGTGTGCATGCACAGATAGGCAGAGCTAACGTTGCAGGGTGTCTGCATACCCCACATTTTCTCACATCCCTGTGCTTGGTTTCACAATCCAAGTGACTGTCGTGCGGGTTTTGAACCAATTTTCTTTGCCAGTGGGGAAACCGAGCCCTGCCTGCAAGGGTAACACAGCTGCTTTCACTAGCCATCATGACACAAGACATCACTAGCATTCATATTTTGGCCCAAGGCCTGCCCTGGAGAGGGAAGTCTTGTGTTTGAGTTAGGAGAATGAGACAGGGCATCTGAGAAGTGTGAGGAGACAGCGCAGCCTGCCCCAAGAACAGCAGGGATGCGGTGCTAGGGCCAGAAAGTCTGGACTCTTCCTCCTCCTGTGGCAGCTTCGCTTCCAAGCCAGCAGAGGATCCTCTCTGCAGGCTCTTAGAAGCCTCGGTCCCAGTACTGGCTGGTGTTGACCAGCTGTGTGGAGAAGGCAAGGGAAAGAAACAGCAGGTGCTCCAAAGGTGCTCTCCCATGCGTGGGAATTCAGGATTACTGTTGTTTTTGCCAGGACTAGACTGAACACTGTTTTTCTGAAAGTAGAGAAGTTTACCTCTTCCTGGAGTAAAATGAGAGGTGTGGGGTTTGGGTTTGTGTTCGTAATGCTACTTATTCTGCGTAACACTCAGTGAGAGGCAGGCATGATGAGCAGTTTATATTTGAGCTGTCATTAAAGGCTGTATTATACTGACATATCTTTAGCTGTGTCAATTCTGCTCTGGGCCACTGTTGCCAAGTGCCTGATACATCACAAAGTGAAGGCAAAGCTGTAACATACGTAAGAGTGAAGAGTAGGGTGAATTTGTAACACTCCCATACTCTGAAATAACTTCTACTTTGTAAGTTGGTGATGAACTTTTTATGATCCAAGGTGTGTCATACTAATTCTAAACATTAAAGATGCATCAATTCTTTTATTTCGGTGCCTTTCTCCTTTCTTTCAGGAATTGCCAGGTAAATGCAGGGAAAACTGTAAGATTTAATGAAATGCCATGAGCCTCCATGCTTCCTCGAGACACCATGTCATGGATTGAAACAGAGGAATCTAAAAGTTATGATAATATTTATCAATATGATATGACAGTGCACTATCTGATGGCATGGCAGGGTTACTTCATTACTCATTACACCACTTGGTCTTTCAAAATCATCCGTTTTTGTGGGATTGCATACCTTGGTGCTGTTGATATGCACTTGTTTGGAATTAGGCAGCATTACCATGTTGAATCAATAGTTTATCCTGGCAACTTAAAGGCACTGAATGAATCACAGTAGAAGGCATGCTAGTAGGCAGAACTTTGCCCCTCCCTCAGGAAAAAATGCAAAGTGTCTACACCCAGAAGTAAATCTTCAGAACAAATCCAATAAAATGCTTGCCCTGCATCTCTCATTCTGCTTCTTAACAAACAGCTGTGTTTAGATAAGCATGTTTAGTATCGGTTAACCTGTCTTTGGTTTTCCATTCATGACATTCAGAAAATGTTGCAAAATACCAGCTGTAGTTCAAAGAGAAAACTGTCTTTTCTTGTGAATATTCTCCAGCAGCAGAAAGCACCCCAGAGAAGCTTCCACACATTTGTTTTTGTTTTTTTTTTTTTAATATTCCCTTGCAGCAGTATGAAAAAGTCAGATTGTTTCTTCTTGCCCTAACTAGTCAGTCTTACCACTTGAGGATTTCTAGGCTTGGGCACAGGTGCAGCTCCTCAGCAGCAGGGAAGTAGCAATGCCATTGTTTTCAGTTTGATGCTCCTTATATTCTTCTCCTCTTCTCTTTCTCTGGATTTTTGTGAAGGAAGCTGCATCCGTGTCTAACTAATGTCTTCCTTCTCCTTCCTAGTGCTGACCAAGACCCTGGAAAAGGGCTTGTTGTCACTGTGGTGTGGAAGAAATAGAGAAGTGTCAGTGCATTTGTGTTGTGCTGTGACTTAGCTTTTTGGTGTAGTGAGATCAGCTCTGGTGGGTGCCAGCTGCCAGCACTGTTTACAGAGGCACTTTGGCCTCAAGTAGCACTTGCATGTGACTGCACAAGAAGCGTTTTCCTGTGCAGATATCAAGGTACAGATTGCCAAGTCTTGCTTTATCATCATACTCATCTCTAGTGTCAGTCCCTCCCAACTCCTGTAGCCTTCTGATGAAAATGCTGCAAAATTTTTTTCCAGCTGATGTGGATAATAACAATTATTAATGCTTCCCTGTCTGCTTTTCCTGTGATTATAATGTACTGTTATTCCAGGAACCACAAATGTGAACTGGTACTTCAGGAGATGACTTTGATTTCAGAAAGAGGACAGGAAAGGTGTCAGACATGTATTGTTGATCTGCATGTAGGTTCAAGCTCCTTTTCCTTTTTTTTCAGTCAGAAAACATCTTTACATTTGAGAGGAGCAGATTATTGCCATAATATGCATCACAGATTTTTTATTAGGATTTTTTTTTAAAGCAAAAGCTGGAAGAGTTAGATCAAGCTTACAAAACTTCTTTCAAAATAAACAAACAAGAAAACCTTTGCTCTTTTAGTATCAGGTTTCAGTTGAAATAAATGTTAACAACAAAGTTCAGTAATTCTTTGGCAAGAGGATGTTGGTCTAGTTCTAACTTAAGAGGCAGGAAAATACTATAGCAGATGACCAATTCTTGTGGCAGTAATTTATGAAGTCTGTGGTGAAACTTATAGTTTCTCTACCCAGAATTACGAAATTCCAGAAAAAATATTTACTCAGGTCTCCTAGCTCAGTTTCACAGCAGAATGGGATATATTAAAACCCATTTTAATTTTTGACAATCCAGTGGGCGGCTTCTTGTAGGTCACACTTCCTGCAAATTTCGTCTTTAAATTTGCAAATGTAATTAGCGAGTAGGTTTCTTGATGCATTCACAGAAATGCTGATTTCACATAGTTGAGTGTGGTCAAACTTGTGCTTTCTCATTGTATCTTTATCTTACTGCCTTTATCAGGTACTCATTAATGAGTGAAGGATCAAAAGGTGGGACGGTGGCCAAGAAGCAATGGAGAATAAAAGTTTAGAAGGTTCCCCATCAGACCTAAAGTTAGTGGCTCACCCGAGAGCAAAGAGTAAAGTGTGGAAGTACTTTGGGTTTGATACCAATGCAGAAGGATGCATATTACAGTGGAAGAAGATCTACTGCCGTATTTGCATGGCACAGATTGCCTATTCGGGAAATACATCCAACCTTTCCTACCACCTTGAGAAAAACCACCCTGATGAATTCTGTGAGTTTGTGAAAAGTAACACTGAGCAAATGAGGGAAGCCTTTGCCACAGCATTTTCAAAAATCAAGCCGGAGTCATCGCAGCAGGTTGTTCAAGATAGCCTCATCATGAAGACCTACCAGAACTACGAAAACAAAAAACATCAGGAACTGACATCTGCAGTCATCAGCTTAATTTGCGAGGGCATGTATCCAGCCTCCATTGTTGATGAACCTACCTTCAAGGCCCTCTTGAGAACAGCGGACCCCAGGTATGAACTTCCAAGCCGGAAGTACTTCTGTACAAAAGCGATTCCTGAAAAGTACAGTGCTATTAGAGAAATTGTGCTGAAAGAGCTCACTGAGGTTCTGTGGTGTGGCATATCCACAGATATGTGGAGGAGTGAAAACCAGAACAGGTCATATGTAACTGTGGCAGTTCACTTTCTCAGCAGCGGTCCTGCCAACTGCCTGGCTGTGAACTCACGGTGTTTGAAAACATTCGAAGTACCAGAGGATAACACTGCAGAGACCATTACACGAGTTCTTTACGAAACATTCATTGAGTGGGGGATCAATACAAAAGTCTTTGGTGCTACAACAGATTACAGTAAAGACATTGTAAAGGCTTGCTCTCTCTTAGATATTCCCGTACAGATGCCTTGTTTGGGCCACTCTTTTAACGCAGGAATACAACAAGCTTTTCAGCTCCCCAAACTGTGCAACCTTCTCGCCAGGTGCCGAAAGCTGGTGGAGTATTTTCAGCAGTCTACGGTCGCAATGTACATGCTGAGTGAAAAGCAGAAGCAACAGAATATTCTCCACTGCATGCTGGTAAGTGACCGTGTTTCCTGGTGGGGAAGCACACTTGCTATGCTGCAGCGCCTCAAGGAGCAGCAGTTTGTCATTGCAGCTGTTCTCGTGGAGGACAGCAACAACCACCACCTCATGCTGGAATCCAGTGAGTGGAATACAATCGAAGGGCTGGTGGAGCTGCTCCAGCCTTTCAAGCAGGTTGCAGAGATGATGTCTGCTTCAAAGTACCCGACGATAAGTATGGTGAAGCCACTTCTCCACATGCTTCTGAATACCACTCTGAACATCAAAGAGAACGATTTGAAAGAAATCAGCATGGCAAAGGAGGTGATTGCTAAAGAGTTGTCAACCACCTACCAGCACACACCTGAGATAGACATGTTTCTCAATGTTGCAACTTTCTTGGATCCCCGCTACAAAAAACTGCCTTTTCTTTCAGCCTTTGAGAGGCAGCAGGTGGAAAACAGAGTGGTGGAAGAAGCAAAAAGCCTACTGGAGAAAGTAAAAGAAAATAGTTTTAGAACTGAGGAGAAATTCTTCACTGTTTCAGAAGAGCCCCCTATGAAAAAAATCATCATCTCCTCTACTCCTCCTCCTACCAGTGTCATCAACAACATGCTCGCAGAGATCTTTTGCCAGACAGGAGGCGTGGAAGACCAGGAGGAATGGCATGCTCAAATCCTTGAGGAGTTGAGCAACTTCAAGTCACAAAAGGTCCTCGGTTTGAATGAAGACCCGTTGAAGTGGTGGTCTGACAGACTAGCACTGTTTCCAGTTTTACCAAAGGTTCTTCAAAAATACTGGTGTATTCTGGCCACAAGGGTCTTCCCTGAACGCCTTTTTGGTTCTTCTGCTAATGTTGTGAGTGCAAAGAGAAACCGGTTAGCCCCGGCTCATGTGGATGAGCAGATCTTTTTGTATGAAAACAGTCGCAATGGGTCTGAGGCAGAACCGGAGGACGAAGATGAAGGAGAGTGGGGTTTGGAACAGGAACAGATCTTTAATTTAAATGACTCGGTAAACATAAACAATAGTTTCTTTAATATTCGAGACAGTGGGTTTGTTTAACAGGACTGCTGCGGTACATTTAATGACAAACAAAAGAGGTATTTGTCTTAAGTTACCAAAAATTCTTCTGTTTTATGCTATGAATGCTGTAAATATTGAACAGTTGTAACAAACTTGATTTAGCTTCCACTGTCTGTGTTTTTCCCACTATCTTAAAACATGAATGACTTGTGATCAAACAGCACTGAAATGAACGAGGAAATAAATTCTACAAAGACTGTGGTTTCTGACTGTGGCCCAGATTTCAGAAAGCACTTATCCATGTGCTTCCTTTCCACTTGTTTCAGTGGAAAGCACATGCTTATGTGCTTTCTATCATAAAATTATTTTCCTGAATTAGGACCTTGAGGAAGTTTTTTTTAAATTTATGCCTCCATTTGCAAATCCTGTGTGACTCAGGATGCTAGCTTTAAATTTTGGATTTTAAAATATTTTTAAAATCCATACATCTGAGCAGTGAATATTTTTAGAATATATTGTTGCTATGGAATGAAAAAAGATCTTGAGCCTGATTTTCACTACCTCATGTCTTTGGTCTGGTCTATGCTAGTAAAGTTCAGTTGGTATAATTATGTTGGTTAGGGAACTGATGTGTTATTATTTTAACTGATACTGTGCTGGCATAGGCTGTAGTGTGGATGCATTTATACCAGGATAATTTATTTTCCTTTCCACTGCAGTGTAAATGGTATAAACACTTAAACTCATTTTGCTGTGTCCACGTTCGTCCAGTTTTACCATTTGACTGCAGCTAAATGGCAACATTGTTTTGTTGTTTTGTTTTGCTTTGTGTCTGAGCAAGACCTGATTGTAGTCTCTTGTGCTTTTGCAAAGTGGGAACCAAGTGTGGGGTCGAGGCAGTGTTGTGTTACCTTTGCCTTGTGCTGATGCCATGGCTGATACCACATGGTGTGTAGCAGGCAAGGCATCAGCCCTTTGGTGAGGGACAGAGGGCAGGGAGACGTCTACAGGCCATGGGTCTAACAGTTTGTCTGTGTTAGAAAATCCTTAGCCTCTTCATTTAATGGGGACTTTGCCCAGGGGAGCTAGAAAATTTTGTTGACAAGAAAAGCAAAATAAAAAGCTTTACTATTATGTAAATATATTTAAAAGAAGGGGACCCCTCCATTTCCTCACATGTACTTAGTGAATCTTTAATATTGTTTTTTTATTATGTTAGCACTTAAAAACTTTTTTCACCTGTCTCTTTAATTCAGTTTGTAGAGTGGACTTCAGTCCTTTCCAGTCTAATCTTTGAGTACTGTTTTTGATTAGTTGTGTATTGTAACTACTCCCTTTGTGTCTCCAAGCATAAGTGTTTTAAGCCCTTTTGAGAACTTGACAAACAAGAAAAAAGAAAGGAAAGCAACCTGAGGACCACCCCCCACCCCCATCTCTTATGAAATACTGCAGGTCATAAACAGGATCAGAGTTCATTCTAGACAAAAAGTGGGATGAACCAGCTTTTTTTTCCTGAGATGCAGTGGAGGACTCTTAGCATTTTCCACTTACAGTCAAAGTTTGTCTGGGGTTTTATTTCTGCTATTTGTGTCTCACCCCCACTTCCCACCTTGGTGTTAGTCTACAACTATGTTGAGCAGTATCTGTCTTGTTACTGTTCTGGAGGAAAAAAGTTGGTGTTTTTTAATCATGATGGCACCTGTGGACATTGGGTTGTAAAAAGAGCACAGACAGCAGGAACATGCGAAAATGGGAATGGTGATGGAATTGAATCTATTGCCAAATGGTTTGTTTATGGTTTGGTTTAATAGTTTTTGGAAGTTTGAGGCCTCTGTGTTCTTTGTATGTGGTGGGAAGGGATGGGTGAGTGAGGAAAAAGGACAGAGATGAGGCTGAAGGAACAGTGAAGTAAGTAATTGCAACTACATAAGCAAAAATGTTAAGCCTGGGAAAAATGCAGTTAGCAAGTGGTGTGGCCTGTGTTTGGCTGCTAGTAAGCCTGGGGTTTCACTTTCCAGCCCCCTGAAAACTGATTTGCACTTGTACAAAGTACATGCACTGTGCATCCTGTTGAATGTTGCTACTCTCCATGTCCACTGAAGAGGTGTATATGTTTGCCCAAGGTGCAAAACACAGGCTTGGCCTAAAATTCCACAATTATGTAGGCTATCTGGGAGGGCAACAAAATAAAATTATGGAAGGAAGTGAGATATCTGAGCTCCTGTGACACCCCAGCAGTCTGCCAGGAAGAGCTCTTGGTTTTTGTGGTCATCACTTGCAGCAGCTGTTAGCACCACTGCAAGCCCTCCCTCCAGGACCTGCACAAATGCTGGTGTGAATTGTGTGGATCTTGTCTTACATGAGCATAATTTAAAGCTGTGCCCTCACAGTCAAGGCAAAGCCCAGAGTACCTTTGGTCTGCACATTGCCTTCCCCTGGCAGCATTTTATCCATCTTCATCCTCCTAGGGCTGAACATAAACAGTGGCGCTTACCAGAAGTTTTACTGAGATCAGTGCAATGCACTACTCTCTTCCTTCCAGCTTCTTTTTATTTTTTGGTATCCAAAATAAAATTGTAGTTGGTTCAATTGATGTGTCTCAGCATTCTTTGAAAAAAAGGAAAAGAAAAAGAAAAAAAAAGAGCAAAAACCATTGTTAGTCTTACCCATTGTCTGTGAGATTTTTTATTTAATGTTCTAAGCCTGGAATATTGTCAAATAAACCAGAAAAATAAGTTAGTTACTAGATAATTTGTCTGATGTGTGGTCATATCTGCAGCACTTTATGACTTTGAACTCTTCCGCAATAGGGGGAGGTTGTATTCTAAGGACTTAAAGCTATGCATTTATTTTCCTTTTGATCCTGTAAGTTATTTTTTAAAAATGCTGTACAAATCTTTTGGATTAAAAAAAATGAGGATGAAAAATATTGGAAGTTTAGATGGTTTTTCTCACTTAAATACGTGTGGTGTTTTTCATTTATTGTTATGATGTTCCGTTGTTCTGTTGGGAGGAGAAGGAAAATTGCAGAGTTTTTTTTTAAATATTGCTACACCTTGAGTTAATCCTCATGTTGCTGCCAAGAGTGGGCCCAGAACAGTTTCCTAATAATGCTATTAAGTCAACTTAATGTTTTTGCTTCTTGACAGTTTCTTTGAATCCACAGCGTAATGTTTCCTTTTCTCTTCAGTACAGCAGAGACATCTTTTTAGAGGGGCAATAGAGGAACAAACTTCAGCTTTTGAGTACTTTTCATGCTGAAAAAGTAAATTTTTGAGCAGGTTCTCAAAGAATGTACTCTGTGTCAAAAGAATTGCCCTTGTCACCAACTAGGTATTAATTCAGGATTAAAACTCAGTGGACTAGGTGAGGGTTTTTGGGGTAACAGTATAACTGAAGGGATTTTTGGGTTTCTGACCAACTCTTGCATGAATTTCACCTCCCTCTACCATCAGGGAACATGTGAAGACAAAGAGAAAAGCCTGAACCATACTGAAGTTGAAAAGGTGAATTTTTCCAGCAAACATTGTCTGAAGTGCTTTGGTTTAAAGGAGGGCAATAAAGTTCTGTATTATTTATGGAAAGGGTGTATGGTTTTAAGTTTCTATTGCAGCAGTCTGTTAGATTAATTTCAAGCATTTTCTTTAACCAATGTCATGGTGTCCAATTAGCTTTACAGGAGCATTTGTAAGCAGGCAGAAATATTAAAAGCAAAAGAAACACAAATTGGTTATTTGTAATATTTTATAGGACTTCTGAAAACTTAAAAGGAATGTGTAGTTGTTGATTTTTGTCCAGGTTAAAAAAAGGAGGTTGCCTGAGGACATTATTTCAGAAGGAGGGGAAATGCATGTATATGAACACAAAAGTAGTGTATTTTACATACTCCGTGACAACTGAGAAAGGAAGCTTTCTGCTGGAAAAATTACATTTTAGTGTCTGCACACCATCCTCCTTTTCACAGTCTCCATTTCTGAGTGTCCTTCTGAAGATCTGATGATCCTGGTTCCGGTGGTGTTACCTAGTCTAGACTGCCTTTTTAGCTCTGCTGAAAGGACCCTCGTGATCTCTTAAGTTTTGTGGTGTTTTGTTTCCCTTTGGACCAGACTGTGGTCTGTCTTGCCTTATCTCCTCCAAATTAATATTCTGCTAAATTCAAAACATTTTTAGGGAACATGGGGAAATTGCGGAAATTGGCTTTGCTTTTTTAGTAACATTTGATGCTGTAGAGGGAATTTGAAGATACAGCTTCATTTTATGTCTGCCTTAAGAGCACATTGGTAAAGCATGCCTTAATGATATTATTTAAACTGTAATTTCAAAACATCTCTGCAGTTTTAGTTGATAATGCTGTTGTTTTTAAATACAAAAGAATTTCCTTTAGATTAAACAGCAAAAATCAATTAAATATATTTTTGCTGTTGCTGCAGTGCCCTTTCAGTGCCCCTGCAGTTGGGTTAAAATGCCACAAGGGAATTCAGTTTAGCATTAATAAAAAATGGAAAAAAAATGAAAAACTAACCACTGTCTTTGAGCTTACCATGTGTTTAAAAAACACAATTGGATTTAAATGCTTTAAAAAAATCAAAGGCTGTTGCAGCAACTATTTTCAAATAAGAGTGTCTCAGAACTTGGAATTGTTAAAATACTAATATTTTTGAGCATTTCTGCTGACATTTCCACACTGAGTGGTATTGATTTCTCTTGCTTCCAGAAGACCACAGAAGTGGTGCTGCCATCTGCAGTGCTATCAAATAATGATCAGATGTAACTTTTTTTTCCAGAGGTTTTGAAACAACTATTACCTGCTGCACACGTGTGCTGGTTTCCTTGCATCACAATTACTTATTTCCAGTGACTAGAGTTTGCCAAATGCTCTGTCCTGTCTTCTCTCCCTGGTCACACCTGGGCAGAATGCTCGGTGGAAGCATAGGGAGGCAAACTCCAGCTTCTCTCACAGAGAAACTTCTTTGAGAGCAGATAAAATTCAGTTTAAAAAGAGTTTAAACTAGGTTCATATTCCAGTCCATGGGGTCTACAGCACATGTGCCATGGTGTGAAAAGGCAAAGCTGGTGCTTCCTCTCCCCACAGTATTGTACACTGGGACACATGGCTCAATGGGACCCAAATTGCCTGGGTAAGGGATGAATATGCTGGGGAATTGAGCTCAGCACAGCTATGGAACTACACTCAGAGCCAAAAGCATAATAAGCATGTCAGGGTAGAAATAGTTTCTGTGCTGCTTCCCTTAGATAGGGGTTTAAGGTAAATACCATAATAAGATACTGGTTTGTGCTCTAGGCTGAAGCTCTGCCTGGGAATTTTTGTGATTATTCAAATAGTCATGTATTTAATACTGACATAGAAAAGAGTGTTCTGTGACATTTAAATAAATATTTTGCATAGACAGTGAAGCTTCCGTTTCTACTTGATAGATATTTTGGGGTAACATTTACAGTGGTTTTCCTGGAATAAATGCCATGGTCAGAAGTACACCAAGATTCAGCTATCAGAACCAGTAGGGCAGTCCTGTTTGTAAGTAAAAGAGACAGGAGAGGATACTTCATTTGAAATAAGTGAGAAAAGTTGTCTTTTTTAACACTCTTGGGAAGGAGATAATTAAAATGCACCTGTAAATGTTTGTGATAGCCTCAAAATTTAGATATATCTGTAGAGAAGTAATCCCTTTGTTTTGCTTAGTTCACTGAAAATATGGCTGCATGTGTGCATGATGTCGTGTTCAATAGTGCTTCCCCAATCATTGCAGAATAAGGTTATTTTTAAAAAGGCAGTTTCTTTGATTACATACAGTATTCTGTCTGTTCATTGTCCCCGAATATTTGCAGTTAGGAATGAAAGATTCATTTTTTATTTCTCCAGTGGATACTGCTTTGCTTTTAAATTTGAGACATTTTACACATCACTGTTGTCTTTACAGACACTGCAATTGAAAGGGTTTCATTTTCCCTTTCTTTCTTTTTGGTTTTTTGGTTTTTTTTTTTTTTTTTTTTTTTTGCTTTTTTCCTCATGAGTCATTAGTTAGGTTTATAGTGATAGGAATTTGCAGTCATAACAAGGAAGATGTCAAGTCAGCATCAGGAGAGCTCATGCCAGAAACATCCCATCCCATATTGTGAATGTAGTGCTCCAAGGGAAACCATCTTCTCAAATAGGACCTTCTGATGTGTGTGTGAGAAAAATGAAGTGCTTTTGCAAGCAATGCACAGTTCTGTCATGGGTGTTAGTGCAGTTTGGTGTGAGTTTGTGCTCTGGGATGCACTCAGTGGTTTGGCACCAAATAAAAGTTTCTTGAGCACACAGCAGAACTTACATGAACAGAAGGAATTTAATAACAAATGTGGAAAATGCTTTACTTATGGGAACAGATAGGAAGTGTGTCCATCTAGGGAAAACACTGAAATTTTAACAGAATTCTCCCAATTCCTGTCCAAAAATCCTGATAGCATTTAAAAATGCTAAATGACTAACCTTCCTGTAGTCTGACATTTAAGAATGCTGTAAAACAACTGTTCTACACACTTCTTGGTGTTCACATGCTGCTGGCAATGAGCTCTGTTAACTTAGAAAAACTTCTGCACTCCCAAATGGCCAGGGAGTAGTTCTCATTAATGAGGTATTGGAGAAGAGAGGAGATTGAAGCCCTTATTGTGACCTGGCCTCCAGCCTGTGGGAATGTGGGCTGAAGGGACTGTTTATGGATGATATTTGGACACATTGATCTGCATAGATAAACATTCACATGCAGTCCAAGAAATTGCCACATCATAAATTTGTCTGGTCCCAGGGGAGCAAGCACTGTGGTGAGAAAGCCAGTCTTGTGGATGGGTGGAGCATGTATCCTTTTGCTCCTTCATTCTAAGCCCCACTTTATTTCCTGTGCAGGCAGCAAGTACATTGGTGCTGCTCTTTGCTGTGTTTGCTGTGTGCTACTTGTATTCCAAGTGTAAGAATAGGAGAATATGACCTGCATGTTTTCGAGCCTTGGTGAATGTAGGCAGAAGTTCACCTGCACTTCAGTTCGTGATTTGCTGCCTGGTTTGAGTGAGCAGTGAGCAGTGGGTTGAGGATAATACGGCATTTACCCCATGGTCTTGAGAATACAAGGCTGGTGTTGCTGCTCAAAGATTCCTGTGTACCTGCTCAGAGAAGTGAAGTGAGAAAAGCACAGCCTTGTGTGTGTTGTATCTGAAGATATGACTTAACGCCCAAGTGGGCTTAAAGTGCTCACATGAACAAGTTCTGCTGTAGTCTTGCAAACAAACCACCTTGTGCATGCTCTGCCCACACCACCCCACCTGCCCTTCATCAATGTTCACAAAGATCTCACAGTTCTTTTTAGAGAGATAAATTCAGTGATAATACATGAAACTATTTGTCAGTCGTTAAGACCATTGCAATATGCTTTTTGTGCCTTTTTTGGCAATGCATGCTAGAGCTGATGGAAGATAACATTCTTCTTTTATCCCAGAGACAGCTTTTCCCTGCAGTGAGGGGATCAGCTCAGTCCGCAAAGTTGATCTGTTGGCTGTACTTCTGCTTTTTCTCTAGGCTGTTTAGGAAAGTTGCTGTGCTCTGCAGAGGGAAAATCAAATTCCTCCAGAGTGTTTTCCCTGTGTTTTTGTGTTGCTGGGGCCGCTTTCTGGTCTGCACATGCCTAAAGGAAGGGGATGGGCCATGACTTTTGCCATGATTCTGCTTCTCTGAGCTGATTGGCCACCCCTAGAAGAAGATTGTGCAGAAGGTGACACTGCTGGGTGATAAGTTTGCAAACACCAGGACTACAAAAGGATTTGTTCATTTTATATTTATATTTAGGCTAAGATTAAAATGATACAAAATGCAGCATTAAAAGAAGTCTGCCGAGTCTACGAACTGACTCCTTGACTTAGGTGTCTAAATACAGACTTAGGGACCTTATCTCCAAAAGCAATCATTTTTGCATGCTCTGCCTTCCGACTCTCTAAAAATGCTGGCAGCACAAGTGTGTCTCTTTTAATACCTTTCAAATAATGATATTTTGGGGTGGACTGTATATGAAATGCAAACCACAATTTTTTATTTTACATGTATCCATTTTGTCTTCCATTGTGCTTCAAAGGTTAGTATTTATAGAATTATTGTGTCTAAAAAAGCTATTGGAACACTTCAGGTCCCAAATGTAGGTAAACTTCAGAAGTAAGATAAATAGTGTCCTCCATAATTCATAAACTGGAAGGCTTAAGTAGTCTATTGTTGGAAGAGGCAATTGTAACTACATTTTGCCCAAATATGGGAAAAGGTGAAGTGTAAATATTTACATTTTTAAGTAAAATTCTGAGTAAAAGGCTTAAATGTAAGCACCTCATTTTGTGCCCTTACCTGCATCATAGCAATACAGAACCATACCCATGGTTATATTCAAGTTATATAATATGGTTATATCCAAAGGTACAAGTGAAAGCACAACCCTCTTTTACTTAGTCATTATTCTGCTTGTGAGGTGTTTCAGTTTCAATGATTTAGTCACAACAAGCATAAAATCAACACTTTCAGCAGATGTGAATGAGCATTTCTATGGCGTGGATCTTCCTTTCTTGGTAAACAGGAGCTACGCTCCTTTGTTAACATAGAGCAAAGGAAAGGAGGCAAATAAGGGCGCACTATTATAGGTAGAAGGTTGGGTGTTTGCTTTTTGCTCATGCAGCTGAAGCAGTGATGGGTTTCAGAGTCAAGTGATGGATTCCATCTGTGCATTTGAATCTAACGATGGGCAGATGCTATCTTTGCAAAGGATATATGGTCTTTGTCTTCAAGTCAGCATTCTGCCAAGCAATGTCTGGTTGTGCAAATTCGAGCTTCTGCAGTCTCTTAATGTCTGCAGTTTTGGGGCTATTTGGCCTAAGATCTTCTTGTTTAGGTTATAGAGCAAACTCTGTTAGCTGTATCATCTCTGGTGCTAATGATGAGCTGCTGCAACTCAAGAAAACGGGCTAGAAAATGTAATTGTTCCTTTACATCATAAAAAGACTGGTTTAACCAAATTCCACTCAGCCACGCTTCAGCTGAAGGCACTGGAGGTTGTAGAAACTCAGCTGAGGAATGCAAGAGCTTTACCAGCAGGGCAGTTGGGTGGATTAAGGTCTTGAGTCATGCAGGACCTTGTGTGGACTCCACCTGTGAGTCTGCCTGTGTAGGACAAGTTGCACAACCTTGTGCAACAACCTTGTCTTGTTTGGTTTAGATGTGAGTGCTGAAGCAGCCTGTGAACACTTTGCATGGCTGAAAGGCAGGTGGAAGTAGTGGACTCCATGATCTTATTTTTAGAGATATTTTTGTAGTAGCTAAGTAATAAGTTAGTTTTCTTAGACCATGTAGGTACTGTCCCACCACAGATGCTTTACTTGGAGCTCCTTTGCACAGTGCTGGAGTAGTGCTGAAGTTCCATGGGCACCGATGTGTGATTATTGATACAACTCTGTTGTGGTAAAACTTTTAATGCATTGAACAAATGCATTTTTAGGAAATACTTCGATACCCATGTCACTAAGATTATGTATGCCTTGCCTTACAGACAGGGCAATGATCAAGATTTGTGCAGTTAAGAGTAAAAAATGTTATATATATATATCCACACACATATACAGTCCTGTCTTGGTATTTGCAGAAACTGTTGCCTGCCAGTTTCAAGCTTTCTATCCTCAAAGTTTCTAAATTACAGATGTCATTACAGACAGTGATTCTGGGTTTGTGGCTTTGTCATACTGTATGAATTACTGCATTAAAGTGTCAGATTAGTGGAGTAAAACAAGATTCAAATGGGCATATTGCCAGCAAGGAAAGAAAATATTTGAGATCTGCAGTTCCCAAAGCGGATAACCAAAAAACCAAAGAAGTTTTGTTTCACATCAGGATTGCTTTTAAGAAAAAAGAAAGTGCCATAGTTTTGTAATAAAATAATGTCATTTGTTTTCATTTAATCGTATTTGTGCTCTGCTAGGAGAGTTTTGATACTTCACAGAACATTAATTGGGCAGGAAAATTACATCCTACCAAAAATATCTTCTGAGTTATGTAAAGCTGAGTTAGAGTGCTTGGCTCTAATACCATTCTGCTTTTTGTTGTGTGCCTGTTTTCTCTCAGAGTGTACTTTCTGGGTCATGGACGTTTTGCTGTCTGAGGGAATGCCTAACCTTGATTGCTAACATTGCTCAATATTTTAAATTATCCTGGAGAGGTAAAGAAAAAAAAAGGAAAGTTGGACCAAAACAATGCACTGAACTTGTTTCTGAAGGAGGAATTTGAGGGGACAGTTTAAACCTTTATTTTTCTTCTTGTTGACACACTGATAACACTGGTAGCATGGTTGATATAACTAAACACCTGGCAAGCTCCACACCGAGTTACCCTCTGGCGTGAGCTTCACTGGCATGAGGAAACGAAGTCACACCAGATCAAAGCAAAGCCCTGCCACCTCCTGACCTCGCATCTCATGATGGTGTTTCTCTTCTGTACAACCTAGAGAAACTGAAGTTAATGAACCTTATGACTGTTCAATGAATTTGGGATTAAGCTTTTAATCTGCTATGCTGTGGGCAAGGGTTTGATTGCCAGCTCTGGCTGTCCAGGTGCGATGTGCTGCAGCAGGAGGCAGGTGTTGCTCCATGTTAGCCATTTGTTAGCCAAAACTGCTGATTAGGACTCCAAGGCCATGTTCTTACAAAGCCAACCCACAAGGTGTACTCTGTTTTAGAAAGGTACTTTTAAAACAGAAACATATAGTTCTGTATAATAGTATTTTTAACAAGCATGTCAACCAGTCCCGACTAAGGAAATTAGAGGACTTGGAGTCAGACCTCATTCTTTAAAAAAAGTTCAGTGTTACCACTGCAATTGGCTTATGAAATCTGCAACAGTCTAAGAATTACACAGAATGAAAGGACTTTGTAAACAAAACATCACTGGCACTATACTTTCTGCAGACCAGGACTGATTCAATGATGAAGCTTGTAATTTTTTTACGGTATATATCCCAGTGAACAGAATGCCTGCAGAGCAATAACTGTTATCTTTCTGGCAATTGGATATAACCTAGAACTAACTAGATAACGAACTGGAAATGGGGCATTTGTGCTATGAAACCCTTCTTATAGCTGAGGTAAAAGGACTTGGACATATTTTTCAAAAATAACATCTTGTTAATGAATAAAGTCATCTAGGTGAATACAGATATCACCTAGTCTGCTGGCTGGGGTGTTCTCATGTTAATTAATACCACTACCTATGTATGCCAGTCTTACTTGTGCATTCCTAGCTGGAATTGCTGCATTTCACAGTGTATAATTTTAACATTAAATAGTCTGCTGAAAATTAATAGGAAAAAGGTCAAGAAATGCAAAATCCATGTTCTCTTGATGATGCTGTACTTCCTAATTATATGATACAGATATTTGAAGAGCAACTTATCTGAGTCAGAAGCAAGTATCAAGATCTGCAAATGCTGCCATTAGTAGTGCTTAGTAGGTGCTAGCACAGGGTGGCTTGGAGGGGGAGATGCTGAGTCCTCTTCTTCCTGCCCAGTCTCTGACATGTTTAACTACAAAAAGGGCTGAGTAAATAAAGGGCTGCCAAAGTGCCTGTGCTCTAGGGAGTGTAGGTGACGTCATCCTGGTGAGTTGTTCTGGATGTCCCTCTTTTTCTGACAGTGCTCCCATGTGCCTCACGTTTGACTGCAACTACTGGTTTTTAACTTGAACGCTTCTCTCCTCCAGGATAAACCTGCATGGAATTGGCTGTGGTGGTGTACTCCTTGCTGGGCAAAGCACTCCTCTGTAAAATTACCACAGAGATTAGTAGGGCAGCACTTGCAGAACAGCTTATTCAGTAAGATAATGTTTTCTATTTCCCCAAGCTAAACAGGGAATGCTCCTAACTGCCTGAAGCAGAGTTTGGGCTTTGCTGAGACAGGAGCACTGGTCACAGACTGCATGAGGACACAGACATGTTGGCCCGATGTCTTAGCATACCTTGGGAGAGTGGTAGTACTTGGCTGAAATGAAGGTGGTGTGACCCTCAGCATTGCTGGACTTTCTGTGTGGATAGTTGCAAAGCTTCAAGTGCAATAACAAAAGAAATGCTGATGTAAGGGCTACAGAAGCTGCTGGTGCAGCAGAAGGGGCTCTGCTGCTTGGCAGGGGCTCACTTTTCTCTTCTTGCAAGAAACTGTTCTCCTTTTACTTTCTATATCACCAGGATTTTTTTTCTGGGAGAGGTGCTAACTGGTGTCAAGGCCCTACAAGAGAACTGAGTGTGAGTGGGCTGGCTGTTTACACCGTGTGTTACAGGGGAGATGGAGATGTACGGCCGGAGTCTGGAATAGAAATTGCATTTTAGGGTCATATCCTTCAAATCACCTAGAAGTCAGTGCACAGTGTAACGCATGTGTTTCAAATGCCTTGCATATTTATGGAAAAAGGCACAAAAGTATTGGAAACAGCAGAGATCTGCCAAACAAGCCAGTGCAAGCTCTTGGTCTTTTATTCAGCAAGTTCTTTTTTTTTTTTCCGCCCCTTGATATGTTTACATTGCTAAGTTCCTTTATGCTTCTTAAAAAGAAAGCTTCATTCAAATTATTTTAATTATTTAGCATCCAGCAGAAGTTAAACACAGCTATAACTTTTTTGCTGTTGAGTGTGAGGTGGAACAAAAGTGCTGTCTATTGGCTTAAAATCATAGGGTCATTTAGGTTGGAAGAGACCGACAAGATCATCAGGTCCAAACATAAACCCAGCACCACCACGTTTACCAGCAAACCATGTCTCTAAGTGCCACATCTCCATGTTTTTTGAACAATTGTCTGGACATCCTGTTCCAATGCCTTCACTATTTCAGTGAAGAAACTGTTCCTAATATGTAATCTAAGCCTCCCCTGGCAAAATGTGAGGCCATTTTATTTGGTCCTGTCATTGTTACCTGGCTAGACCTACCTTTAAGAAGTAGTTCCAGATATCAGCTTTACTGGAAACGGATGATCAGCTTGGCATGATGAAATAGGACTATAAGATCTGTTATAGTAAAGAAAATGTTTTGGTTTTTTTTTATTCTCAGAAAAGATAAAGGAGCCGTGTCTTGAAAAATATTGCACACCAAATTAGCTGGTGCAGAGCCATAACATTTGAGCTAAATCCTCTGGTCAGGTGTAAAAAAAAAAAATCAGGCGTGAAGCTTGTTTATGCTACCAGTGATGCCTGAAAAGTGATGGTAGTTCTGGCTGATGTCCTGAGAAGGGCTGACAGGGTGCACTATGATATATCTCCATGTTTCAACACCTGGTTGAAGAGTGAGGTTGTAAAGTGGCTCTGCAGCAGGGCCAGCATAATTCTCTTCTTAGAAGCAGAATGGTTAGAAGATGTTCATCAACACAAATGCATATTTCTATATGAAAGGAGCTAGTCCCTTAAAATTTTGACAAGATATTTATAGAAGGTAATTAAATGTAGGAACAAAAATAGGATGTTTGTGTCATACTCCTGGAGCATTATCAATAATGGGACTTGTTTTGTGAGTAGTTGCACATTTCTTCAAAGGAGCATGTGATGCTCTCTAATTGAAATATTAATAGCAGATAATGACACTGTGGAATGATGGCCGCTTAAATGGAAACATACTTTAACAGCTTTTAATCTGTGTGGTAACTGCATATTAAAAATCTTTGACAATTTTGATGAAGAGCAATTATAGAGCATGCACAATAGCTGTTCTTCTAAGTTAACGAATTCCCTAAATCTCATGAATCTGCAGTAGATTAATGGGCTATAACATTTCATTCAAAATTAAGTTTTTCATTGAAGAATAAAAACATTAATTAAATAAATTCAAAACAGTTAGCTGTCTTTATTGCAAAGTAGTTGTTTTCCTGTGAAAAGTTCAGTGCATATTTTATGAGGAACAATAAAGATGAAAATAGAAAGAAAATCTATGAGTGTGAGATCACTCCAAGATGTGTTGAAAAAAAGGATTTTGAAAACAAATGAGTTTTTTCCTAGTAAAGGACTGTTATGAGACAATTAGGAAATTTCAGATGTAGTATAGTCTAGACTTTTCTGTACTTGCATATTCATACTCCATTTGAAACCCCTGACCTGCTTGTATTATCAAAGAAGAGAAAAAATGAATGAAATTCCATATTTGGAACACAAATGTTGTACCTGTCTTGAAGACAAAGTATTCGCATGCTCTTTGTACTTTGTCATTCCAAGTTAGACCTGATTTTTAAGTAGTTTCGAGTACAAAATTGAGCTCCATCCAGAGGCTCACGGGGCTTCAGTAAAACTATCTTAAAAATATATAAACTAAAAAACCCACAAAGTTCCATCAGGGATTTCTCGTGCTGGAGGTTGGGTGGTGGCCCTGGGAGGGTGGCAGCAGAGGTTGGGCAGCCTGGTGCAGCTAGGGCATCAAGCTCGGGCACTGCCCTGCGGAGGCAGCACCTCTGGGGCTGTGCAGCTCTCAGTGTCCCCCTCACTGGCTTGCTCTGCTCCTGACAGGCCACATGAGCTCTGCTTTCCTTGGGGCCACTGCTTTGGGCTGTACACCAAGAGGCACCTCTAGGAGTGACAATCCACAGACAGCTGCTGCCCCGCCCCAGCTCTTCACCAGGTGTCAGCCAGACGAAGACATAAATGTACTGGCCAGGGGTGGGTTTGAAGGATGTGGAAGCAGGGCAGAGAAGGAGAGGAAGGGATGTTGAGACTATTTTCCGTGTTTTTATTAAGTCAGTAGCATCTGTGTTTAATCTCACATTAGTGTCAATGCTGTAATGGCTTCTGATTGGCTTCAACATTTTTTAATAATATGGAAATGTGCTTTTTAGCATTTTGTATTTTAATAAATTGCAGATATCTCAGGGAAATTTTTAATACTGATTGGTTTATGTGCTATGTTTCCTGTTAACTAGATTTTTCCCAATATTCTCTAATCACCTGGTACCTCTCTTCCTGATTCTAATTACTAGAGCTTTGTATATGATAACAAGCACTTCAGTTCACAAGTGATTGCAGTGTTTTGAAGTGAACTACTCCAGAAACTTTCAATTGCCTTTTAAATTCTGTATACCAACTCGTGACTTCTGCTTACTTATTTGATGGAAATACTGTCACCCTGAAGCCGTGGGAAGCAGAGGAGACTGTTTAAGTGGCAGCAGATCATTCTTGTTGGCTGGAAGAGGCAGATCAGAATGTGACCTTCAGCTGGATGCTCTTAAGCTTGATTGGGATATGGAAATTACATTCTCTGTCTCTGGGAAGGGAGGAGATGCAGTTTAAACTACTCTTAATGATCTTTCCAATGTTTTTTCCTTCACACACATATACCCCTCACATTCCCAGAATATAATATAATATAATATAGTAAGGGAATATTTAAAGAATCGACTTTCCCAATGTATTGGTTGCCCAACTGTATCTCTCCATCTGTGCTGCAAGCAAGATGGAATGATTAATTCGATCTTTTAATAGCATGTGGTCAGAATAAGAGATGTTGGAATTCACAAGCAGTAAAAGTAGAAGCTGTAAAGATGATATTGGGTATTGTGAAACAGTATATCCTGTACTATCTAGGAATACGATGATACAGTCAGTACTGTCTTGAAAATAAAAATTAAAATATTTTCTCTTTTGAAAGGTATAGATCATAGTGGAAAGTATAAATTCGTTTCTGTTGTTTTTTTAATTTTTCTGGTGAGATGCTAAAATGCAGGTGGCAATATTTTGCTTTTGGTTTGGATTTCTAGTTTGGCCATAAGTAGATCAGTCTTTCCAGTTTGATCATAAGTAACGAGATCACTCTTTTCTTCAGTTTCTGCATATGAAAGTGCTGATGAATCATAGCATCATCAAATCATTTAGGCTGGAAAATTCCACAACATTTAACCCACTCTGCCAAGTCCATGACCAAACCATGTCCCTAAGTGCCACATCTACATGTTGTTTAAATACCTCCAGGGGTGGTGACTCAACCACCACCCTGAACAGTCTGTTCAAAAGTTTGATAACCCTTTCAGGGAAGAAATTTTTTCCTAGTATCTGATCTAAACCTCCTGTGGCACAGCTTAAGGCCATTTCCTCTTGGCACTTATTACATGGGAGAAAAGATATACCCTCTCCTTGCTAAAACGTAGATAAGATATACCCCCTCCTTGCTTTCAGGTAGTTGTAGAAAGCAATAAGGTCACCCCTGAGCCTCCTTTCCTCCAGGATAAGCACCCCCAGCCCCCTCAGCTGCTCTACATCTGACTTGTACTCCAGACTCTTCACCAGCTCCATTGCCCTTACCTGGACATACTCCAGCCCCTCAATGTTTTCCTTGTCATGAGGGGCTCAGAACCAAGCCAGGATTTGAGGTGTGGTCTCATCAGTGCTGAGCACAGAGGGACAATGGTCCTGCTGGCCACACTATTGCTGATACAGTCCTGGATGCTCATTGGCCTTCTTGGCCAGATGGACACACATTGGCTCATGTTCAGATGCTGGCACCAGAACCACAAGGTCTTTTTCCACTGGGCAGCTTTCCAGCTGCTCTGACCCCAGCTTGTAGCACTGCATGGGGTTGTTGTGATCCAAACTCGGGATCTAGAAGCTGGCCTTTTTGAATCTCGTACCCTTTCAATCAATCCAGCTGGTCAAGCTCTCACTGTGTAGAGCCTTTCTGCCCTCCATCAGTTTGACACTCCTGCCCAACTTGGTGGCATCTGAAAACTGGCTGAAGGTGCACTCGATCACTTCATCCGGACCATTGATAAAGATGTTAAACAGGGCTGATGCCAATCCTGAGCCCTGGGGAGCCTCACTTGTTACTGGCTACCAGCTAGAAGTAGCTCCATTCACCACCACACTCTCTCCATGGCCATCTAGCCAGGATTTTACATAGCAAGCAGTATGTCTGTCCAAGTCATGAGCACCCAGTTTCTCCAGGAGAGTGCTGAGTTTCAGCAGAAGCTGAATATCTGACTTTCCACATTTTCTGAGCTGTGGGCACTCAAAATTAAGGTTTATGATGGAACCTTTCTTCCATGCAAGGTGTGGGGACTTGCGTCCTTAGGATTATTTCCACAGTATTTGAGATCAAATCAAGAATATTAGCTGTGCTTTTCTTCTTCTTCTTCTTTTTCTTCTCTTTCTACTCTTCTCTTTCTTCACCTTCTCCTCCAATTTCACTTTCCTTTTTCCTTTTCTTTTTATTTCCTTTTTCCTTTTCTTAACTCTGCTGGGAAATAACCATCATTTACAGTTTTCTGACATGAGGTTTCTGCTCTGCAGTCAGTTATGACATTTACTTAGACTGTAATGGTGTGACAGCAGCATCATGCTTTGCTGATTCATATTTTCTTCAGCATTTCAAACTCACTGCCATTACCCTGGTTTTTGGTCAAAACTGTAACCCAAATGCTAATTTTTCTTAGTTAGACATGAAATTTTAAATCCTTAAAAATTCTGTGCCACATTTCATGCAGATAACTGTCAAGTTTTTTGAGATATATTGGATGTGGTCTTTCCTAGGGAAGACCTTTTCTGAGATTACTCACATTTAATTTTGGTTTCTTTGGTTCATTTCATTTATGGCTTCTTCACTGGATTTCTGAACATGATTTGGAGAAATCTACATTTATTTTGGACTTCAGTGAGCAGGAAAAGTATCTTTAAATGTCAAATGTTTGGTTAAAATGAAACTTTCACTGTAGGGAAATAGCACTTGGAAATAGGGAATTGCACTTGGGAAGGCTTTTGTATGCTCGGAGGTATGTCTGAGAGCAAGGACTTGAAATAGTTTCCTACATCCTGGGGGATGTAAAGCCTTGTCAGATGCAGCTGTTTGGGAAATCTCGGAGCCCAGACAATCTTCAGTTCCTGGTAGAGAATGAGAAAATAATTCTAATGTCTCAAACTTTTGCAGGATGGGAAAATGCATTCTGCAGCTACTAGACTATGCAGAGCTATTTCCATTGCCCCTATTTAAATATCCTAGGATAAGCTTCTCTTTTTCATCTCTCATTTCACAAGAGGAAAAAAGTATAATTACATGGTGACATGACTTGAAAAGCATTGGGAAGTTTTACATAAAATGACATTGCCCAAGGTATTGCAGAATTACAGTTGCCCAGAGGGAGGGAGTATGAGAATAAGCATCAGTAAATCTGTTCAAAAGATAATCAGATGCTTTTTCTTGATTTAAAGATACACCTGTATATAACTTCCCTATCTTTAGTGTGACTGGAGTGAAAGAGAAGAAAGCCAAAGAGTAAGACTTAATAGGTAAATATATAAAAGGAATGAAAGATAAGCAGAGCAGAGAATACAAATGGAAAAATCCCCTTTTCTATACTTGTGATAGTATTTTCCCATGTAAAAAAAGATATGGGTAAATGGAGCCTTTAAATATATGCATATGTAGGGAAGATTATTTTTTTCTTGGAGCTAGCATCATGTTTCTTCTCACGATATTTTTAACAAATCCAGTAATCTTTCATATGCAGGCTGTGTCTGTTCAGTGCAGTGTAAGGAATTAGTGGGATTTCTTAATATTATTGCAACAACCATTTTGCACTTATTTCAGAAAACCCAAGGTTATACTTTTGTGAATTGCCTTTTATGACTGAGGCTGAGACTGCTCACGTATGGGTCGCTGTCACTGAGCTGAGTTAGTGCTGTGCCTTGTTAGTGACAGTGCTGCCCCCACAGCTCTCCAGTCCAGCCTCATGGCAGCAGAGCCCTCCCTCCCAAGTGAAGGCAATGCTTCATGGCCTCATCCAAGTCCCCTGCTGGCATCTGTCCCAACACAAAATGATTGCACAGTGAAGCGAAACATGCCATGTGTGGTGTAACGTCAGTGGGTAGTCAGGTGCCAGATATTTTTGCACAAGTTTGTCAAATGTACTATCAGCCTTTATCTGACATAATTTTTAAGACTAGTGTTTCTCCAGAAAAAACAAACAAACAAACAAAAATCTTTCTTAAGGCAGGAATAGCAAGAAAGTGTAAGACAAGAACTAGTGTGTGATGGCAGGAGTTGCTTGATGTCTGTTGGAAACTTGCAGAGTCATAATTTCACTAATATAATTTGTAGATGTAAGGCAACTTTTCCATCTCTTGATTCCTTCTCTATCACCCCATGCCCCTCCCAGGGATCAAATGCTCTCCTTTTCTACACATTTGGTTGGGAACTTTACTCCCAAGAGCAGATTGTGGGCAAACTTGAATTCCTGATTAATTTTTAGCAGATTTTCATGCTACACTGTGGTATTTTCCATCTAACTGATTTGTATAATGGTGTGTTCAATCTATCTATTTGGCACTCGTAAAAAAAATTAAATTCAAATATCTTATCTTCAGATTAATTTTGGCAAAAGGAACAAAGTACGCAGGAATGGCAAACATGGCCAGAAGTGAGATTCAGGACTTGGGAACTGCACCCTCTCATCTACTGTTGCTTTCTTTTACCTTAGGGCAGCTCCATATTTGTTAGGATCAAATTTCCTAATATCTCTGTCAAAATCAGCCTGAACTTGTATTGAAAAAAGCTCATGTATATGCTTCACCAAACCGTTTTTCAATGCAGCCTTATTTCCCATTGTCTGAGAGAAAGGCGATTCTGAAATGTCAAGACAAATTCCCAAATTAAAAGTCCTCTTTGATTTTCTCCATTCTCATCCTCCTCTTTCTTGGGGAAGAGGTGGCAACATCCAGCTTTTTTGCTGTGTATGATCAATGATCCTGATGCATAAGGTTTCCTGGAGGAAGAGGTTCTTCACACACAGAGTGAAGGCAGCATAAATCAGTTTGGAAAATTAACATCTATATAATTTTTGAAATCCCCAGCTATCTTTTTCTCCATGCAGCCCTTCTGCCAAGTCTAGCAGCATCACAGAGTCCAAGACTAACAGTACTGAGCATCCTATTAGACAAATAAAGCAAAAGCACTCAGGCTCCAGTAGAAAGATGTATGAAAATGCATCTTCCCTTGGCTCTTGTAACCAGGCAGGACTTCTTCACTTGCAAACACACCAGTCATATGCCCTGAAAAACAGGGCACTGAAAATACATGTGCAAGTGGAGAGGAAATATTTTTTTGATTACTTTGGCAATAGCTGTAGCTTACTTTTCTAGCAGTCTGTGGATCAGTGCCTTGACTCACCCCACCAAACCATGGTTGATTTGCACCTGTAAGTAGCAGTGCCAGTGTCCTCACCTGGGTCCTTTTTTGGCTTTGAGGACAATATCACCATGCAGAGATTTATGATTGAGGTGTATTTAATTGCTCAGAGCTGTATCTCTTTCTCCGAAACACCTAGAGGTGGGGGGAAGGTGAAGAGAGGGGAAAGGGGAATTTAGCTCTTAAAAATGACCTCATCTTGACCAAAAAATTTCTTCCCATGTATTATTTGAAAGTCTAGCCCTTCCTTCTGCTTCTCCTTTCACACCGTGCTTTCCACACATGCTTCTCCCTTTATCTGCACTTATGCTGTCTTTCCAAGAATCACTAGAAGAAATGCAGATAGGTGTGTCATGCAAATTAAATTTTTAGTGTAGCTTTCCACTCCCCTTCCCACTGTTAGAGAGATGTCTTTTGACAAGTCTTGTATTTTTGAGTGCCAAAAACTCTTGCCCTGAACAGCTGCCTTATTTAGAGTATTGTTATTTTTCTTTAGTAAAAAATATTTCTTTCAGGACTGTAATGCTGGCATCATAACTTTCATCTTATTATTGCACCAGTTAATCTTACATATTTTCTAATATGTGGAGGCTTTTTTAACTATAGTTAGGTCTTGCTGTGGATACTCATGCTCCAAACTTGTGATATTGGACTCTAATAATACCTGTTGCGCTCTAGTACTTCCTCAAGGCTCCAGAGCGTGTTCATGAGCTGAAAAAACAAGAAGGAAAATGAGCTGTTCTGCTCATTTGTAGTATGACTTCTGCATGTGTTAAATGAGATATCTAGGAACAAGTCCTGTAATGGATTTTGGGAGCTTGTATCTCAGCCTGCTGTGAAGGGGTTGTCATCTTGCCTGTAAATGTTATCACTTCATCCCTGTAAGCAAGCTGGCATGCTTATCGAAAAGCTAAACAAATGTTATAAATTTAAGCAGCCTTAAGTTTGGTTGTTTTTTTAAAGTTGTTTTCATTGGCGATTAAAAAAAATCATAAGTCTGGCTCAGCAGATGTTTGCTGCTAACTCTGAAGAAATGTCACTTGTTCCTGTGTTGACAGTGTCAGGAAGGGGTGAGTAAACAGATTATCTCCTTAGCTGGCTGAGCACTCTGCTTCTCTAGTAGGCATATCTGCCAGCTCCCCTCCTTTTGTGTAATTTGCTGCCTTGCTGCACTTTGGCTATTTGTCCAGGCTCTCTGGATATACCTTGGCTGGAGTTACAACACTGGTTGGGTTCCCAGGTGTTCAGGCAGCCCAGACAAATTTCTGCTGATGTGTGGGAGCTCTGCTGCCTAGTGGAAATGTCTACTTTACGGGGCATAGGCTGAGTGTGCATTCCCCTGAAATACAGGGATGGCACTTCTGTGAGCTTCTAGAACTGGTGAGTTGTTGTTTGCTGTTTCACTGGCATGCAGCATTTCAGGCTCTGTGTGTGTCTTGCGCATCGGTTAAACAAGAAACTTATGTGTGCTGGGGTTTTGCTGTGCTTTTGTGAGCAGTTGTTACCAGTCAGATTCCCTGTCAGTGCCTGCGTGGGAGCCTTATTAAATTAGGTCTTCCCCTGGCTTCTGAAATCTTTACAGCCTGCTGTTCCACTAATAGCATCTTGAGATACCTATGAGTTTGTAGGGCAAAGGACACATTTCCATGGTTTGGTTTCTCCTGCTGTTCTGGTTCTTCAACACCTTTCTCTTCCCATGAGTAACTCCAGGGCCAGCCTCTCCGATACCTCCATTTCCTCATGATTCTTAACAAAACCTGGGAGGCTTGTCGCCTGTCTGATGCAAAACTCCAGCTGTGTTTGGAAACAAATGCTGTCCCTGGACAGATAAGTCTCCCTTACACAATGCATCCAGCCATCCAAGGTACATTGGACCCGTTGGCCGTGTGCCGGTGGACCTTCATATGTGCATGCCACTTGTTCCTCAGCAGAAGGCCGGATGGTCTCAACTGCTGAAACCAGCAGGATGCCTTTTCACAGAAGGACTAGTCAGGCTGGTTGCCACCTACCTGCTTTCCAGCCTTAAAGGCCTTCAATCTTGATTGCATATTGATGTTCGTTAGGAAAGTGATTGGAAGCAGAAAAGATTTTGGTGTGCAAATTTGGGAAGAAAATTTGCATTAGAAAAATCATTTGTGCAGGCTCAGGACACGCTTGAGGCACGCACAGTTTGACTGGCTTATCTGTCAGGATTTGAGTACATAAATTGTCTCATGTTGGGATAGTCCTAGAGTGATGTTTGAATCCAGACCCTGTTTGTCTGGTTTCTGCCAAACCAGAATTTTACGGAGATGTTTCTGTAAGGCACACAAAAAAAGCTGTTCCTAAAATCTGCATGGGTTCCCCAGCAGTTTACTGATTGCCTCTCTGGTGGAAAATTAATTATTTTTCTACATCTGCTTAATGGCTATTATCTCAACATCGCCACAGTATAAATCAGAGAAAAAGAGTCAGAATATTTTGCAATAGGAAAAACTACTCAATAATTCTGTGGTACACTAAGCTATATGATTTCTTTAATCCATCTAGAAGAACTTGATCGTGCCTTGTCCTGTGGTGTTAGATGAGGACTGGAAATTACAGTTTGCCTTCTTTTCTCACTCGGTGTTGCTATACAGGAATGGCTCCAAACTTGGATCTTGTTATTCAGTCATGAAATTAAATATTCATTGTTAGTTCTTTTTATTTTGTTTCCATCTGTGCTTCTGCCAGTTACCTTCAGGCCTAATATTTGCATGTAAATTATTCAGTTATAGGAGGAATGAAAAAAACCAAAAAACTGTTGAGATTTGTCTGTAGGGATCTCTCCAGCACAAATACCACCAAAGTTCCTGCACTATGTGGCCAGTTTGCAAGGTGCAGGCAGGTCCCAGCATGGCACCTCACAGGTGGACACTGACCAACTTTTTGTATGCCTTCAGCTGTGCTCAAATCTTGCCTGATAAGTACAAGTTACTGATTTGGACAATCTAAATTCTACCCTTGGCCTTCAAGATCTTAAAAAGAACGATAATGAGGAAGTTAATAGAAAGAAATTATATTTTAATATCCATATGACACATAATGTGCCACAATGCAGATACTGGATTAGTAAGGTAGAAGATGGAACTTTGTAAAAATTTGATGCAATTTGATTTAAACAAACTTCCAATACTTTTTTCTTCCTTTTTCCCTTGGCCTCAAGCACAATGTACTGTAAAGTTTTCAGAATACCAAAGCAAGCTATTCTCAAGGGAAGCTCTTCTGAGATTTGCATTGTCCATGTTCACATGATGTCTTTCTGAAAAAAAAAAAAAGAAAAAGTTTAATGCTTTTGTTTTGATTTGGCTACTTCAATGACCGTCATCCCCGCTCCAGGGCTGCGATTTTGCTGTCAGGAAATGGCCATTGCTATGGAACTGGTCATTGATATGGGTCTGCAGACTGTCTTATTTCTCTGTGGTTTTGGCAGTTGCAGGGGCATCCTGACAGCCCTGCTTTAGAGTCCCTTGAAAAATTAGTATTTTTTAAAATTACAGAATTGCCTTACATTCTTTGTAGTATTGAATTTGTGTGAGGATATCTATGTACATGGAATTTATTTCTGATTAAGGACAAGTATATTTAAAAGGAAAATATTTTTAAATAGCCTCATCTTAGGACATAATAAATCTTCCTTATTTTCCTGTTTTAGGGTTATCCACTTGCAAGGTAAACAGGCTTATATCGTCCCGATACGTTGGAATGCAGGCAGAACCTGCAGCTTGAGAGGAGCTTCTCTCAGCCACTGGTGTGATAAAGAACCACCTAAGGACTGCAGGCTGGTTTCTTTGAACCCAAAGGGAAATTAACAGCTACTGCTTGGTCAGGGGATTTCATTAGCACTGGGCTGTACTGTTCTCATGTCCCACGGAGATACCACTGGCATTATTCCTCTGAACTTGAGATCAGTATGTACCTCCTTACCAGGAGCAGAGGGAGAGAGAGAACTGGGGTGGTTTAAAGGAGTTGCAAGAAGTGCCAGAGGGAACCTCTCTGGGCATTGCAAAGCCAGTGGGTCTCCACTGCCTCTGCCTGGGGGGCTGTGAGGCTCCAGCTGCACTCAGCTCAACCTCTCACACAAAATAAACTAGTATCTGCTGAAAACCACGCTGAGCCCAGGTCTGCTTTGAAAATTTCATGCTGAGTTTCATCACTGAAGTGGTGTTTTAACACTGAAAATTGGGTGTACTGCAAATTCCACATGGAGTTCTGTAGGGAACAGGGCACTAATAAACTGCCTTTCACTGGAGTTGCCCCTGGATATACACAGAGCCTGTATTTGATCTTGGCCACTTTTGCTGAAATAAATAGTAGTTGTGAATCATTTAAATGGAGATTGATTTTACATTAAGACATCTAACTTGATGGAAACGGTACATATTTTTTAAATTAATAACAATTAAGAATTAATTGAGGAGTTTGTTTTTGTCCTGTCCCTCTCTCCTCCCCAGTGTATTTCAGATTTTCTCTTTGCATTTCCCACTTTGACTGAAGTGAGTGGATAGACTGAGTTTTGCCATGAAGTGTTGTGTCTATACAAAACCATGTTATGTGGAAGCTGTACCTACTGGAAATAAAACAGATAATGACCCCTTATCTGTGTGTCTGTAGCCCTCATTTCTCCCTCCCTGTGTGCTTTCTTAGGTCCTTGGAGCTAGTTGCTACAAGCAGACCTGTTTTAAACCTCTCTGTAATATAGGATTGCACAGAATGCATTTTTACAGGGGAGCCCTTAAGTGGCCATTAGGACCAAAAAATTGTCCTTTTCTTTGCAGTCACCATGGACAGGATAGGACTGGACATCTTCTTTCATCTGTTAAATCGTGTTCTCTGCTAAGAACCACTTCATCACATCTCTGCTAAGAACCACCTGTTAACTCTTTGCTTTTCTGACTTTCCATTTTCACTTCATGTCATTGCCCCTTTCCCAGTCCTGACTTCTTTTTCTCCTTTTCCTTCATTAATTTTCTTCTAAGTGAATTTTGCATTAAAATGTCACTTCTTATTCAATAGGTAGGTATAGTGGTTCAGTAATGGACATGAGTGACAGCACCTGTATGCAGCAAATGAAATCCAAATATCAGGTAGCAATGTGGTGAGAGGCCAGGAAGCAAGGGAGGCATGGGGAGGCAGAAGAGGAAGGGAAAGTACTCAGGCCCAAAAGAATACATTTTCTCCTGATGAGATTTGGATCTGTGGGCATTTTGTTTAGTATTTGTGATTAGAAGTATTTTTGGTGGAAATTGCAGGGCTGCTTACAACTAAATTGAAGTCCCTTAAGAAGGCTCCTGGGGAAGTTTTATCTAGCTTGAATTATATATGTCAGAATACCTATGTGCATGCATATCCCTTTAACTGGAGTTAAACTTCAAAGAACTTCAAACAATTCCTGTTCTTCATGGATGGGAAGAACCAAGTTGTTACCTGAAGAGAACAGAAATTCATGTTGAATCGTGATAGAAAGAACTATGTGTTTCAGAAAAGATGAAATATGGATCCTTTTTGAAGTTGCTCTGAAGAAAGGAGCTTGTATCAGTGCTAGTCCTTCCTGTGTTTCATAACTATGTAAAATATGAGTTGATGTTGTACAACAAAGCAATCCCCTAAAAACCTAGAAATCAAAATAGAAAGTCCTTTGATACATGAAACTTGGCATCTTTTTAACATGTTTTATCTATAGCATTGCCTACGGACGCTGCACCACAGCAAAATGAAGTATTCAATACTATTTTTCTTGTGCAAAAACCTCACAGCTTCAACTCCAAAGCAAATTAGAAATTCACCTTGGTCATCTAAGGACCACATGGTCCTTCACTTGAAACATTCTTTACCCAAAAAAACTGTAGTTGATATTAGACCTAATTCACGCCTTTCCCAAGCAGTTAAATGATAATGCCTTTGCTCTGCTTTGGCTGCAGAACTCCCTTCATGCTAGGGGGATGTGCTGTGCAACCTGCACCCACTGTGAGAGCTTGTAGCTGGAATGGCAGCTGCTCTGCAAGGGCCATCCCAGATGCTTCTTGGCTCACTTGACAGGCTAAGGGCTGCCTGTGGGTGCAGGAGACACAGGATGTGTCTTAGCCACCCCTCTAGCAGAGGGAGTTTGGGAGCATTCCCTGCCTGCCAGGCTGTGTGTGGGTCAAGGAGCACTTGGAGTGGGGGCAAAGTGAGGCTGACAGCAGGTATTGGGGATGCTGGCTTCTGTAGGACAGAGCTGGTGTAGGTGGGAAAAGCAGATGGGAGCTTTCATGCAAGAAAATTGCTTCCTCCTTTCTTTGGGGCTCAGGGCCTTGTGATTTCAAAAGGGAAAGTGCTCAGTTATGCAGGGAAATTGGGTCATCTAGTGTACTTTTGATGGCTCACCTTTGACTGAGATCTTTCCTCCATGTTACTGATAGAGGCCAGTCTTTTGTCTTTCAAGAAATTTTCAGAGTATCATAATGCTAGTTGATTTTTTTTTCCCTGTACACGTAGAATAAGCCATCCCTGAGCTGATGTAACTGGCTTCACCTTGCTCATTAACAAAGTTATGGTGGAAATTTTAAAGGTCAGATTACTGCAGGATGATGAAATGCATGCAAATAGACATGAGAAAACTTCTGAGTGGTTGTTTGCCTTTTGTGTCATCAACCTCAGTCTTTTGTGAACTGTTAACACTGGAAAATTATAGTGCAATAAATAATGGTGGATGTTCCATAGTTTTTATTTCCATACAGAGTTTGCTCCTGAGATTGTTTACTGACCTGGTTGGAGCAGTCTGTTAACTGTAAACTCTTTAAAATATACATCTTAGCTTGTTAATTGTGTTACTATTATGAACTTGTAACCTTGTGTTATTTCTTTTTTCTCATATAGTTTTCCCTACACAAAATGGAAAGGTTGCTATAGTGACTGGAGGCGCTAAAGGAATTGGTTACCAAACTGTGAAGCATTTGGCAAGACTTGGCATGCATGTGATAATAGGTAAAGTCATTATTTTCTTAATATACTTTTTGTTTCATAAAGTCAGGTTTGTTTTTTTTTTTTTTTCTTTTAAGGTGTATTTTTTTCCAGCATAAGTAAAGATATGTCAGGGGAATGTAGGATAATATTTTGCTAGTATTTAGCACAAATAAAGATTGCTTTATATTTTGCTTTGCAAGATCTTAATAAATAGTGGATGGGATTTTTTTCTGTAGGATTTGGAAGAGTTATGAAGACTTGTGAACTCTAACTTGGAAGAGTTAGATAAGAAATAAACAATAAAAAAATCTTAAAAATATGAATATTACAAAAAGATTTTAGTTCCTTGTTACTGGGGATGGATTATACATCAGCATTAGGGTGTACATGTTCATTAAGAGGAAAACAAATTAAAGAGTTGAAGGAGCATTACAGTGATTAGTGGGGGATGATCTGTGTTGTGAGGGCAGAGGAAGCCCTTATAGCTACATCCATGTAAAAACTGCACATTTACTTCTCAGTTTGTCACTGTAAGAGGCCTCTCTAGGCAAGACAAGAAAATAAATAACGAGATATTCAGTGGCGTCAGTCTGAGACAGGCAATTCACCTTCTAGAGGTGCCTGTTTCTCTCCATGGGTAATAAAGAATTGATAAGCTGCCTGTGTTAGAGTGAGACATTTGAAGTTAGGTGAATTTCTGTATAAACTCAGAAACTGTCCAGTATTCACCATTTCTTCTTTCTACCACAGACACTATTTAGGAGATTTCTTATTTTTTAAAGCTTCCTCTACTATAAATATATATTTATACAGTAATATGTCTACTAAGTCAGAATGTAGTATAATGAATACTTTTATGTTTAAAATGCTACATTTTCTCACTTCATCTTTCCTTAACTAGATTTTTGCCTAAACCACTATAACTTTTATTCCATAGAGTCACAGAAGATTGCTGTTTGAATGTACACTATGAAGCTGGTAATGCCATTTTGTTCAACTTTTATAGAGATTTTGCTCTCTCTAAGGTTCTGTACACATATCAAACCCACTCCAAACAATAGACAAGAGCACAGTAGACATGTACTTTTAGTGTACTGTAGTCAGTAACATTAATGGAGTTGTCCTGGAATCACGCAGGTGTAATGTGGAACACCACTTACTCATACATGTTTTAATGGATGTGTCAAACCCAAGCATCTGCAAAATGCAAGTAGCTGCTTCTTTACGTAGCTAAATGTAGATGTTGCTAATGTAGCTAGATGTAGCTAATGATGTCAGCATTAGTATTTCACTAAAATTCCTTTCCATCTCTAAGGTGGACTGCAAAAATATACTCAGAGGGAAAACAAAAAGGGTAATTTTCTTCTCTTTGTATAGGGTCATAGAAGCATAGAACTTTTCTTTTTTTTTTTTTCCCAAGATTTATTTTGTATCACTTTAAGTGATACATGTAACAAAATTCAGTGTTAGAGTTTTGGGAATGGGAAGGTGAGGTTTAGGTGCAGAATCTCTAAATAAGCTGGATTTTTTTCAACTCATAGTCACTCCCACATTCCCTCACCCTCACATCCATACTCTCATAAGCACCAAGAAGTTTAAGCTCGTGTGACATTTGGAGCATCACCTGAGTATGGGAAAAAGTCATGCCAGCTGACAGTCCTTATCCTGTTTCTGTGGATCTTCTCTATCAGAAGTAACAGGCTATTTTATGGTCAGATCTGCCACAGAAGTTGTGCAGCCTCCTTCTCTGGACCTATTAACAATTCATCTGGACGTGCCCTGTGTTACTTGTTCTGGGTGAAACTGCATTAGCAGCGGGATTGGACAGAGCTCCCTTCCTATTGGGTGATCTTTTATATTGCTCAGCAGCTCTCAGTACATCTTTCCTTGTCTGCAATATATAGGCTCTATCTATAGCCTATTTTTAGGCTGGGCTAATGGAAAAAATAATGGTATGGGTAATAAGTTGCAACTGGGAGATGTTATCCTCCTGATGGCAGAGTGCATGGTCGTCTGCTGCCAGTCTTCTGTGCTGTGGCCTTGACATGCACAGCACAGGAACAGTGTCCTCTAAACATGTCTTTTGTTTGTCAATAAAGGGCATTCTTTTAACACTTTGCTCTTTCTTTTGGTGCCTACAAACACACACACTTCCGTTCACTCTACAGTTGTATCCCTCTTACTATTTTCATTATGAATCCCTACAAATGTGAATTAATGAAATTAATTATAGGAAGCATTTGATGAGTAAGTCTTCCAGCTGATTCATTTCTTCCGAGCAAACTGACCTAAACACTGAGCTCTGTGAGTCACAGTCATCTTCTTTGCCTGTGAAACTCCACAGACCAAAGCAGCCCTGTCAGTAGAATGGATAGTCCCAGGCGCTTTTCCAGCTGCAAGATCGTAACAGTCTCGGAAACACGTTAAATGCAATGACCTTCCATCCTTGCTCATAACTGTTGGGCCCAAGTGTCCAGAGTATGTTTGAAATATCTGCTGGCACATTGGCATGCATTAGCACATTCTGCTTCAGGCCACACAAGGCTCAAATAAGATAGCAAGTGTGCTCAAGTTTTCTCCTCTAGAAATGTTTTCACCCTATGTTTGTATACAGACATGAACTTCTGTGAAAAAGGTGTGGATGTTAAGTGAATTTGGGCTTGCAGGAGGGACTCACATGTAGCTTGCAGTCAATCATGCTCAATCACTGAATGCTTGTTTCCCATTATAGGAACTGTAGCAATAAAGGATGATATCCCTGCAGTAGGCAAATGAGTCAAGGCTGAATGTCTGATGTGAAAAATGAGTCACCATTTGTGATGGATGTGATTTTGATTCAGTTTGACATTTTAGAGGAGTAAATATTTGAAACAACCTACTTTTAAATCCAATCAACCAATGATGAGGAAAGCAAATAAGTAGAAAGCATGTTACCTTGTGGAGTGTGAGTAGGCACTGTATGAAAAGGCAGTATGTTCACTCAGATCCTTTACAGCAAGCGGTTTCATAGCTCTTTCAAACTTCCCTCCTCTCCAGTCCCAGCACTGGTGCACAAGACTCCATCCCCCACTGATGGTTTCCCTCTGCAGGTGCTGCTCACCCTGCCCTTACACTCTCCCTGGGAAAGAGGTTTTGGTGAATGTTGAAATGATGCAAGTAATTTTCAATAATTTTGTATATTTGTTTGATAGATTTCATTGAGGCTTTCTGCCAGCCTGCTTTTCCTGGTAGCTTTACCCACAGTCAGCAGGGCTTTTACTTCAGGAAAATCTCATGTAGACAGCAAACCCCTGGCAGGGAAAACTGATGCCTGTGCCTTATCTTCAGAATCAAGCCAGAGAGCTCCTGCTCCCTCCTATGCAATTTACTAGTTGGTAGATAAACGTGCAATTTTATTTTCAGAAAGAGAAGGTAAATAACACACTGTGCTCAGCAGTGACTGATATTGAAGGTAGTGTTTTGTGTGCACTTACAAATAAATATGCTCTTCACAATGAGGACATTAGAAAGCAGGATATCCTGGTCAGTTCTATGACCTCCCCCAGCCTGCCCAGGGCATAAAACCCAGTACATTCAGCTCTGGTTCAAGGTTTGCCACAGTTCTGTGAGTCTCAATTTAGAGCGATAAAAAAAGCATAAACTATTCACAATCCATCCGTCCTTGTTCAGAGCTGTTTAATTTTATGAGGATTCTGTGTTTGCCTGTTAAAATTGTTGACTCAAAAAAGGAGAGCCTCTATTTGATATTTTTCTCTTTTTTTTTCCCCTCAGTACATCAATAAAAGATGGCTGAGATAAAGTGTGATAATATCTAATGTAGAAGTTTTGATAATTCTATCTGAAAACAGAATGAGTGAAAATCAAAAGATTTGCACCTGTACAATGTTACACTTATGCTGTTTGGTATAAAACTCCAGGTTCAGGACTGTGTAATCAATCTTTAATGTCCGAGTATATCAGTGTCACAGGTTTCTAAGACAGGCTTGAAGGAAGCAATCTCATTATACTTATATATATGTATATATATTCAGGTGACTTATTTGAGCTATGCAATTTTGGCTTGAGCCCTGCACGTTTGGCATTAAAAAAATGTACTTCCATCACCAGATTCAGCAATTCTGTGAGCTCTGCAGGAGACTAAGAAAGAGATATTTCTATCACCTCTTTCAGTTCCCATTAGTTTCCAATTTTCAAGCTAAATTCTCTGTACCATGAATCAGACAATTCTTATATTGTATAAAACTACAAAAGTATTATAGAGTGATAATTAAATCCTATCAAGATGGTGCAATTCTTCATTTTCAAGGACCGTTTGATTTAATTTCAATTGCTGAAAATTTCTGTGGATTACTTTAATAGCCTTTCTTTAATATATATAGGTTTATGAGAATATGGGTTATATTTTTTTTTCTTAAAAAGTATTTATCATTCTAATTTCAGCCAGGTTTTTTTAGGCCTTAATGAGTTCTAGAGTTAGTCAGGAAATGTCAAAATTTTGCCAACCTATAAAAAGTGGGTGTTGATTTCTTTTTTCTGTATAAGCATAAAGGAAATGCATGCAGATTCCTTTATAATTGTAACTCAGTTCAGGTTTTATCATATCAGTGCACTATAATCAGGGTCATAAAAATCTCTGTTTACAGTACTGTTAATTATGCACCATACATGTACACACAGCCACACAGTTTTCCAAATATGTACGAATTTTGTCAAACACATTAGTCCCTAAATTCTCTTGAAAGACTGTCATGTCTGTGCTTGTTTTAACATATGGTGCTTTCAACAAATAATTTTATAGGAAGAGCACATAATGAAGTGACAAGTGCTTCAAATTGTATCAAACTATTTAGGGTGATAAAGACCAGGGATGTGTGAAGAATTTCAGGAAGACCATAAGAAGCTGAGTGTTAAAAGGCATGTACAGAAAAATGTCAATCAATGTGGAGTGATGGACATGGGGAAAGATTTTAATGCCAAAAGAAGACATGATGAATTCTGTGTCAACCATCAACACTTTGGAA